AGTTTCTAAAAACCACATAAGGCTATATAATTCTAGCAAGTTACATTGACAAAAGGTCATGAAACTAATATAACTCTCTGTTACATTTTAGACAATGTTTTATAGAATGGACCAATAAGGAAAAATTTATTGGCCTAACCAAATCAACAATTCTTGAAGAATAAAATATAAACGACCAATAAAAATATATGGTGGCTAGAGCTTTCTCTAGGATTACATGATGGAAGCTAGATAAGTAATCGAAAATTTTTTTGTGAGATATTAAATTTTTAAAAGATTATCTTCCATTTTTAATGATATATAAACGACTACACAGTTGACCATGCTTATCTATGCAATCATATGCTCTCAGCAGCTATAGTAATAATCTTAAATTACATAGTCACACATGGTTAATTTGCAGTCATAGCCATGACACTCACGATGGTAACCCATATCAAAATTTATTATGTTAGATAAATTGATAAAACAAAAACAGTAAAAATCTTTAGAAGAAATTATGCAAATATATTGATTTTGAATTATTTACACGGCAAGGATGCCATATTAGAAATGAAACATTTTGTAACTATAAAATAAGAACCAGAGTGATATGATGAAAGTAATTAAGATTTTATAAATTATTGTCGCACCACCTCTAGTTGGTATATTATATCTTAAAATAATAATAGATTGTAATAATATCAAAAATATATTCGTATTAAAAATTTAACTCAAAACTGTTTTTAAAGAAGAATAAAATAGCTTTCCTAAAAACACGTAAAAAAAGAGAAGAAAAGATATCTTATTTATTATATCCATTATGGGATGAATAATAAGAAGTTTAATTTTAATAATATATTTAATAAATAGATAGCGTTAAATATATGAATGCAAATTGTTACTTATATTTATTATCAAAAGCATTTATTATTAAAATTTTAAAATTATTAACTGTAATATATTCTATAACTGTCAAATAGGTCTGTAAAAGTGGCAATTTACCTAATATTTTATAAATAATTATATATTATAAAGGATTATAAACTATTTATCTTTACTTTTTATAAACTAGTAGAAAGCCTATTCATTTTTTACGATAGATGTCATGCCAGGTTCAAGCTCACAATATTAGGAAGCATCCAAGATCTTATAATTTTTAAAAAGTTTATCAAGCCCAGCTCAATCCTTAATAATTTGTAAAAGATATTCCCAAGTCAGGTGCAAGCTAATATTAATTTTGAGGTTCCAAGCCCAGTTCTACCCATTATAATTTTGAAAATTTTTTCCCGTCTCAGAGATAGTTAAATTTTTAATATCATCACATGAACGGGAAATATCTGATTTACCAATTAGTCTAATATGTAAAAAAAACATGTAAATTCCGTATTAAGGGAAACTGGGGAGGCCTGGGCAACCACTTATTAGAGAATCATGACAAATAAAATAAAAATAACCAACTCTTATACTTTTTTGTAATATGATCAATTAAAATTATATCTAAAAAATAAATTGTTGCTTATTATATAGGGTTATTGTTGTTTTTCAGATAAATTTAATGTATATCTGGCATTTCCGAAATTATTTGTCAAAGAATTTGATAAGGGATATATATATTTTTATGTTAAGTAAAAAAAAAATGCTATCTATTTAAATTACAAAAATGCCATTAAACACTAATGAAACTTATATGCAAATTATTATATATTTTTTAAGATATTCTTTTTAATTGACATATAAATTTAGGATAATTTTTTTAAAAAATAATGAGATTATTATGTATTTGATAAATTTAAGAGCAAATCCTTGTTGACATTTTTATTTTTGATGGAAAAAGCGACAAAGTTGAACTGTTGTTAATCCTATGAAAATATTAAATTTGCTATCAAATATATATTTAATTTGCCATTTTCATCCATATTATATATATCATCTGGGAGAAAGTTATTTTCCCATAAAACAATCAAATAATTATTAAAAAATATTTCAACCATTTTCATATTGAAATTGGTGGCCCTGGCTATACTTGTAGCCTCTGGTGTTCTCAAAGATATTATTGGATTTCTTTTAATAAATGCTCCGAACCAGTCTTCACCAGCTGATTGAGTAATTTCCCAAGATATTGGTACTTTTAAAATACACTTCTTAGCCATTTGATATGCTAAAACTCTAACCTATATTTAAACATAAGATATTAAATTATTTATATATTAAGGCAATCTCATTAAAATCCTAATTCTTAAATTTTATTCTGAATTTATTTTAGAATTAATATATACAATCTTCTGCTAAAATGATTTAAAATATATCATTCATAATTAAATCTTTAATGTATAGGTAAGAACCTAATTATGTTTTAATGCATGATATAATATGCTTAATCAATGAATATAAATAATTTTATAATTAATATATATACATGGCAGAATCATTTCATTTAAATATATATCACACACACATAATTACATATCATTCTAATGCTTATATTAAATTCTTATTTAAAGTATTTTAATATTAATAAAGATGTTTCATTAACATATAATGTATTTAATAATTATAAATTTATATTAATTTGTTCTCAGGTTTATTGTTTTAACAAAATTCATTTTAAAGAGAATTTGTATGATATAAAATTAAGAATTAAAATACTTGCTTAGGGCATAATCCTGAGAATAATCTTGATCCTTTAATAAATGATCTGTTAATTTCGCTTCTTGAATATGAGAAAATACTAATCTGTGAACATATCGCTCTTGAAAATCTTCATTCCTTTTGAACAATTTATGATACCTCTTAATACTTAGTTTAGTTTCTTAAATATATTAATAATAGAAAATTTAAGTTATAAGATCATCTGTTTGTATAAAATAAATAAAATCAACAAATAAATAAATACGTACCGATGACATGACGTCACGATGACGTAGTGATGACATCGGAAAATTATAATATAGATAAATATCTTATACTCATTTGGATTTGGACCTTGAAAATAATTTTAGGAAGAGCATGATAATTAAATTTAAAAATCAAAATGTAGTTGATTAGTGATTTTGAACTCGGCTAATTACAATATTAAATTTGTTAATTTTCAATTAATAAATGATATTTTAATTAAGGTTATATAATAATTTAAATAATAAAAGTCAATTAAGCTTCAACTGTTAATGCTAAATTAATATTTAGTGAGTGATATTGACATATGTTTAACATAGAATTTGATTGCAAGCTGACAGAGTGAACACATAATTTATATGTATAATCTTATCTAATAATTAAAATAGTATTCATTTAATAAAAAAATTAGATATTTTTATTAATTTTTAAATAATAAAATTAAATCTATATATTACTCAATAGAATTATAAAAGAAATCGTTCAGGGGGCAATTAAAAAAATTTATTTTTAGTTCAAGGGATATTAAGGTGCAATTTTAAAAATTTTTTTTGCTTCAGAAGGTTATTCAAATTTTTAAGGGGGCTCGACCCCTGCGCGCTCCCTCCTAGCGACGCCACTGTTAAATGGTATAGAAAATAAATTAAATGATGTATCTTAAGAAACTTGAACTAGTAATTTCGATAAATTAGGAAAAGGGAAAAAGAAAATTATAAAATCATCATTATCTACATTTCTAAATAAGCTATTTTCCATTGACAAAATTTTTAAATATTAAAAATGATTATTAGTAGAGTTTCGTAGTTTGGAATTAATTAACTTTATTTTACTCCCTATCGGCATTGCATGAGAAGATTGAATAAATTATTAACAAGTTATATATATTTATACTATATTAAAAAATTTAAGAATACTATCCTAAAATTTTATCTATTGGACTAGTTTTTCTTTCTAAAAATTGATCAAACTCTCATATTTATATGACACGTATACCATACCTAAGATAATTTATTTAATTTTAAATAATTGTTGAATCTCTTTCTAGAAAAATAAGGTTTTACATTTTTCTTTTTATTTGGCATTAAAATTAGGCGTTTAAAATTAATTTTATATAAATATTTTTCTTAGGCTTTTAACATTATTCTTAAAAAATTTTAGAACTTATAAATTTTATTTTGTTAATACATTTGAAATGTATTTTAAATTATATTAACCTACGGACTTGTTATATTATTTCTTTCACTTAACATAATATTAATCTAATAGTTAGTTACATTGATTGTTATTTACTTTCGAAAAGTATATATATAGAATTTATTAGGTTAATAGGAAGTTAGTTATATTTTATAATAAAAATAAATTTAAAATAAAGAAATTTTGTATCAAGATTTTTTAATTTCTACACCATATTTGCATATTTAGTATAGGGTACTTAATAATAATTAATAGGTAAGTATTGTATAGAAAAGATTTAAAGTTATTCTAAAAAGAAAAATTGTCATTAAATATATGCGTGGTTAAATTTATGTTAAAATTAGCATTCTTAACAATAAATTAAGATCCTAATTTATAAATCATTACAATGCAGATGAAAGTCTATTGATAAACTGATTAATATTGATTAGTAAGTTTATATATAACACTGGATTTTTAAATATTTAAATTCTCTCTAACCCTATACAATAAAAAAAATTATTTAAAATCATTGATTAATGGGAAGAAATATCCTAATTAATTAGATTATATACATATTAACGTTATATATCTTGTTTAAATCTTGTATCAAAGCATGATTTTATTTTATTCCTTATTTTTAACTCGGTTTTAAAAGAACTCTATATTTTATTCAGATACGCAGACTTAAAGATATTGTTCATAGATGGGTACAAAGGTTTGAACATCTACTAGAATCTCAAGGCTTAGGAAATATTTTTCTAGCTAAAATATTGAGTTAACCGTTTTGAAAAAGTAGCCTCAAATAGAGCCGTTTAATAATACACCAACAATTAAATTCAAATAATACTATATCCTTATTTATTTTTTATAAACCCCATAACTATAAATCGATATTATTTATATATTGTGAATAATTGATAATCATTTTTTAATTTTTATTATATCCTAAACTATATTTTTTTTACTACAATCATATATATAAAATTAGCGGCAAAAAATTGTCTACCATAGAGAGCATCTATGCGGAGAATATTGTGTTGGATATTTCTCACCACAATGCCAGGCTTCCAAAAAAGGTCCATATTCTAACAAGAGGTCATTTATTCTGTATAAAATTAAATTTTAATAAACTATATTAGCACAGATTTTATTTATTTCATCATTGAATAATGAAATATATTTATTATCATATAGAAGTTTGCATGTCAAAGGATTTATTATATAAAAGTTTTATCGTTATTTATACCTAATATCACTGGGAAGATGTTCAAACAATTCTGGCCGACTGGCTATTAAAGGAGATCTGATTTCACAAAATTCCTTAAAAAATATAAATTATGTTCTTGCAATCGTAAAATTTCTTTTTCTTTTAATATTTTTTTAAGCTTGTGACTTAAATTATAAAAATTATTTTAGAAAACAAATAATTAAGCGATTACCAAATTTTAATATAAAAAAGGCGAATAATCTCTCTAAGGCTATGAAAACCTAAATATCTCTTTTGTTTTAAATAAAAAAGAGCCTATATTACAAATTGAACTGGGTTGCTTAGCATTGAATACAAACTTATATAGAAAATATTTCAAGGCAACCTTTAAAAATTTCCTGCCTATATAATACAAATATGTCATTTTTTTTACTTTTCCATTTAATTTAAATTTTTTTAAAAATCATATATTCTGTAGTATTAAGACGAAGCCATATATTCTCATCTTATTCCATGAAAATTGAGTTTAATTCTTTTTTCAATTTAATAGTTTTTAATTAGACCCTGGCCATCGAGATAGAAGTTCTCCATATATATTTCGAGGCTTACTTGAGCCAATGCCATAAAGAAGACTTGATCTGAGGTAATAATCCGGGATCCTAGCTGATAAGTCACATTCCTATCATCTTTTAAACTTGTCCGCAGAGTCTGGATAATTTGATTAATATAGATAAAATATACATAATAGTGTGATAGATAGGCGTCAACTTCATGTGGGCAGCGGGGGTCGCCCCCACTTTACAAAAATAGATATTATTGATCCATTAATATTTTAAACACCAATTTTTTTAAACAAATTTAAAGCTCCCCATATAAATCTTTACGCGCCGCCTTTGATAATATATATATAAATATATCTCGTTAATGGGTTTAATAGGATAGCTATAGTAATAATCTATAATTGGTGGTAAAAATTTTTTTAATTTTGATGTACATTAATAATTTTAAGTTTCGTTTTTATTAAATTTATTTATAATTATATTATATTATTTTATTATATTAGGAATATCATAGATTTATATAAAACTATATCACAATTTTAAAATAATACTTTGAACGTTAAAAGTAAAACATATATAAGTAATTTAAAAATATATATTAAAAATATCATGTAAACTATTAGACAATATATTTTTTGCATGTTTACCAAAATAATTGTATTATATTTATTTTTTAATTAAAGATTTATTTGGTTTATTTCGATATAAGAATAAATTAACATAAGATACTATAAAAAATAAAAAACTGTATAATTAAAAATACAATTTTATAATTGAGTTAACCATAATTATGTCTAAAAATTTCTATCCAAATTTTTTGGCGCATTATATCAAAATTTTCTTGGCTTTGTTCGTAAAAAACCACATTTTATTGCTTAGATATTTTAATAAAATTTATATGTTAATAGCGAAAAATGGCTATTTGTATAGAAGTCACTATTGGAAATGTAATCTTTGTATTTGTTAATTTTTAGTTTCTGCCTGTATTAGTGGATTGATATTTAAGTTTGATGTGAATAAAGGAACGCATGTATAGTTCCATATTAGTGAAAAAAAACCTTAATAAATAGAATAATTCCCTGTGTTCAGTAGTTAACATGACTATGTGGCTTTCATTATCACAGGGGGATACCAAATTAATAAGTTCATAAAGTATTCCGTGAATTATTTTTTAATTGAATATTTTATAAATTATAATATCGGTACTAACAGATATGTGTCAATTATAAAACTCGAAGTAATAGGTACAAAAATAAATTATAAACTTGATGATAGATTTACCACAATTAAAATGATTTTGTTAGCCGAGTTTTAATCGAATCAAATCAACATAGCATTATAATATTAAATTATTTCATCAAAATTACTAAATAGGAAATGTATTTATTTATTAGAAGAGTTGTTAAAGTAGCGCGCTTGGTAGCTATACCTAATAGCCGCTACTTTTTTTAAAATTATTTAATTTTTTAGCGCGCTACTTCGCTACTTTTAAAAAATATAATGAATGTAAGTATAAACATGAAAATTTAAATATAATATCATTAATTATAATTTATTATTTAATTTTGAAATTTAAATATATTTTCAATTTTTAATTTATATTTTCAATCTGTGTTAATAATCTAAAATGGCATCGCCCATGGATATCCAAATCCTTGAAAGTGATTCAGACATGGAAGATTTAATGGAAGAAAATGTACTTAATAGCTCTAATAACGATTTCCCATTCCCTAGATTTGAAAAAATTTTTAAAATAAATATTAAAACAAAATCTGGATTCAAATTCCTGTACTTAAAATGTAAAAAAAATATATCATCAAATCAATCGAGTAGCTATAACCTGAAGAAACACCTAAAGGTAAATTGTTATTTTTACATTATAATATTATTTATTTTAGACTGTTCACGCCAATTGCTATAAGGAAATAGAGAAGCATATAAAAAATTTTGGTATAGGAGAATCTTCATTCAAAAAGACAAATACTATCCAAACCAAATTAACTGATAATAAACATGCCAATATTTCACAAAAATTGGCTGATAAAGTAATTGTTGATTTTATTATTGACACAGTTCAGCCATTGTCCTTGGTTGATAATCCATCATTTACTATGATGATTAAAACTTTGTCCCCTGGCACAACAGTTTTATGTCGCCAGACACTTATGAATAAAATAGCCGACAACTTCAAAGTGATGAAAGATGCTCTAATAGTAGAGTTATCAGATATATCTTATGTATGTACCACGGCAGATAGTTGGACACATAACAGAAGGTAAAAACTTATTTATATTTATAAATTGATCTGATTAAATATTTTTAGAGCTTACTTGGCAATGACAGGCCATTGGTTAGACCCTAGGACTTTAAAAAGAAGATCTGAAGCCTTAGCCCTTAAAAGGATTATAGGATGCCAGACATATGACGTACTTGCAAATAAAATAAGATTTTAAAAGGGTTTCAAGATCGACATTTTATAAATGTCAAACTTAATGGAATAAGCAGAACAAATCTCCTAAAAGTTTTGACATGTTTAAAAAAAATTAGGGAGGTATTTATTAACCCCTAATCGTACAAGATGGAATTCTGTATACCAAGCAATAAAACTAATCGCTTTTTTTCTGGAGGAAAGAAGATTAGAGATTAATTATCTCTGTGATCTTGTTGAAATTGAATATATTAACGATGAAGAGCATACTTTTATAAAAGAGTATACAGAAGTAATTCTAATTAATAATGATTCATTTCCATATCATTTTAATTTTTTAGGTTATGCAATATGTTGCTGTTTCCCTTGAAATTTTGGAAGGTGAGGATAATATGGAGATGGGGTATTATGTTCCCACTTTAAGTATCCTAAATACCAAATTAAAGAGATTGAATAATCTAATCTTATGCCAGCCCCTAGTAGACTCACTGTTAAAAGGCATTGAGAGAAGGTAAATAAAATTTATATTGTTTTGATTTTGACTGAAGATTTATTCTAACTTAATGTTTAAAGCTAAAAAATTTATAAAATTTTATGATTAAGATATATTTAAAATACTCTATTTTTGTAACTTTTAGATTCCCAAACTTATACAATGATGACAATGTCTTAGCGGCAATGGTTCATCCAAAGTTTAAACTAAATTGGCCATATATAAATTCCGATTATGCCAAACATCAACGCGATAGGCTAATGGCGAAGCTGAATAATCTTACTCCAACAAACATATATTGCCGAGTATCTATATCTACCACGAAGACATCCTCAAATAATTTTTTTGAAATTAAAGATGATTTAATAGAAAATCCAATTGATCTTTTTTTTCAATCAAAAAATATTAAAATGAATATTTTTGATAATTTTTCATATATTAAAAATTTATATATATTAAATACCTCCTTGCCCTCAAGTGCTAGTGTCGAGAGATTATTTAGTAAAAGCAAAGCTTATACTTTCTGATCGTCGCTCTAGACTTGGGGATGATAATATTGAAATGATATTATTAAAATGCAACAAATTAAAATAAATATTTATTTATATTGCTTATTTTTTTATAATCTAAACTAACTATATTTTTATATTTATAAATGTTGAATTTTATATATTATTTATTATACATTTACATTATAAGCAAAAAAAAAATAAAAAAATTTGTTTCATTTGTTTCTAAATTTATAAAAAGTAGCTTAAAAGTAGCGCGCTACTTTTTTTGACAAATAGCTATAGCGGTAGCGCGCTACTTTTAAAAATAGCGTTTAACAACTCTGTTTATTAGTCAAATATATATTAATTTTTTTTAAATTATATCATACCAATATAATATTCAGAAATTAACGCATTTTATTACATCATAAATTATATAAATATATTATTTTGTTGTAAAATATATTCCATATTGTTTTATTTATTTTTTCTTCTTACATAAAGACTGTTATAAAAAAAAATTATATTTCATATTTCCTAAACCTTATATTATATGCTTTGATATATTATAAATAAAAATTAGTCTTCTTTATTTTCTTTCTTTTAAAAACTTGATAATATCTAAAATAAAATTTGCCCCATTGTACTCCCTAAATTTTTGGGTCAGGTTTAGGCAACTGAATTTTTTTTAATGGAATTTTTAAAAAAAATATCGTATTACTAGACATGTGCGCCGCCGCTGGTAATTTTTGACCACGTCGACGCCGTCGCCAGTGTCGGCGCTCAACACGCCGCCGCCGATGTAAAAATTCGGCGGCGTGATGCATATTTTTTATTATTAAAAAATAATAATTATTATATATTATTTATGAATTGTAACTAGAAAAAAAATAATATTAAATATTTTTTGAATTATAAAAATGATTTTATTTTTTAAAATTAATAAATATTATTTGCTATAAATTTGATTTGTAACAATCCATATAATACACGTTGGCTCACTTTGGGCAGGTCTGTGATTAAAGTGCTAGATAAGATAAGATTAGGATAGTAAAACAGAAAAGGTATTGATAATTTACTATTTTAATCTTAATTTTTATTTTAACTGTTAAAATATTTAATTATTTTATAATAGAATATTTAAATAAAACTGATCTCATCCCACATTTAGAATTTTTTATGGCATAATATTTTTATTATTAACTTTTTATTATGTAGAAATATGGCATTATTTCCTATATAAAAGATTTACCAGATAGAACAACACTTCGGAGTGGATTAGATGATGTGTATTTATCAATGAAAGGATACATATGTCAACAAATTAATATAGGTCTTAAATTTTGTGCTATAACTTTTGATATGTAGACCGACAAATATAGACGGCGAAATTATATTACCTTTACATTTCACGAAATAGATAATAATTTTAATATTGTATTTTATACACTCAAAAACATACCGCTGAAACTATTCTTTCCGAGATAGAAAAAGTTGAAAAGGAATTTGATTTAGGGTCCAAGAAAATTCAAATGGTTACGGATGCAGGACCCAATGTAAAGAAAAGTGTTCGTCTAAGAGGATATGACGATCATTTATGTTTGGGGCATGGATTACATAATCTATTGACAGTGGATGGAATAAAAAAAGTTAATAAAATAGAAAATCTCATTAAAAAAGTGGGAGAAATTATATTTGCCTTAAGATTCAACACAACGGATTTTGAAAATATAAAC